GTTGAAGTGGGTTTTGAAGGAGATGGGTTTTGAAGGTTGATTCTGCAGATTAAACCTCAAAAAGGAGATGGGTTTTGAAGTGGAAGGGGATGGTAAATTTGGAGTCTTTATTGGCGGTGGTGCCGGATATGGTTTTGATGTTGCCGGGGCTAGAGGTGGTGCCGGCGACGCTACGGTTTTGAGAAGATGGCAGGATGATTTTTGGTTTGGATGTGTAGGTGGGTGGGGGTAGGATAGGGTAGCGTAGGGTGAAGATGGAGATGAATATTATTCTTTTTTTATTATTTTGGTTTAGTTATATTTTAATAGTTTTATGGAATTAAATTGTCAAGTTACAATTATGCCCCTTCTAGTTTGATAAAAATTGGTCAAAGTTTACTATTCTGGGTCAACTAACGGTCAAACGGACGGAAACCGTCCATTTGGACCTCCAGTGCATATTTTTGAAAGGTTTGGGACCTCCGTTGGCACAAATCAAAGGTTAGGGTAAAATGCGCAAAAATTTGAAAGGTTTGGGACCTTTGCTGCAATTATCCCAAAAATGAATGAGATGTGCCGTTGAAAAAGTGATAAAAGTTGTGGATCCATGGTTGAAAATGAGTTTTAAAAAATGGGACGGGCTAAATTGATTGGAGCCTACAATCATGTTTTCACTGAATAGATTCAACTTCAAAAAATCATCAATAAGCAATATTGAGATAAATTATCATTTTCATGTTCACATCTACACTTGTTATCCACATCCAGAACTTCAACTTCAAGCAAGGTCTAAAATGGATAAGAACTTGACATCAAGGAGGTTAATCGTGTACCTTAGAGATGCTAAGAGCATCAAAAAGCGCAAGAAGGTCAGAAATGAGGTCTAAATATGTGGTTTTCTCGGGTTCAGGTGGCGGATCAGAAAGCCCATATCCTCTGTAGTCCAGTGCAATGGCTCTGAAACCAGCATTTGCCACTGCAATCATCTGGTGGCGCCACGAGTACCATATTTCTGGAAATCCATGTAAGAAAACCACAGCCGGCGATTGCCCACTTCCGATTTCAGCCACGTGAAGTTTTAGCCCGTTCACTTCGACGTATTTGTGCTCTATTTGGTCCATTTTTACCGTCCACAGAGAAAAAAGTTGAACTGATGAGTTCAGAAACTCCACTTTATTTTCTGCTATGCGGTTGTGTGAGATAAACAGTTCACTAGAACAATTTTTTATTCACACGCAAATTTGGTAACTCGTTTACAACTTGATGCAATAAAGTCACAAAACTTTGATTTAAGGTGTGTTTGATCCACATTATTTTAAAAGAATGTATTCTGGAATAGTAGATTAATGAAGAATTTGTGGTTGAAAAAGAAGGAAAATTTATTGATGTGATGGAAAATATTATTTTATTGAAAAATGTATGATTGAAAATGAGTTGAAAAATGAAAATGAAAATTTTAATGTGTACCAAATAGGGGCTTACTTGCATTGAATTTGATACTTGAAAATCCCTCGCCTATCTGTATAGATTAAAAATTGAAAAATTAAAAATAAATTAAAGTTAATAATTAATTTTAACCAGACATTTCATGGGGTTCACAAATTTTCAACAATAAATTTCTTCAAACTTTTATTAAAATCTACCAAAAAAATCTTATTTTAATCAACATCAAACACGTGTATAATATGATGAGATTTCTATGCCTTTGTTGGCTCATTTTCCCAAAATTCATTTTTTCCAAAACTCATTTTCAATCATATATTTTTCCAATAAAATAATTTTACATGTAAACCTAAAATATTTCATACTTTTTAGTCGTACATTCTCCAAAAAATCATTATTTCAAAATCTATTAATTCAAAAAATTGGGCTCAAACAACGGCTATATATACGTCAAACAGTAAGCTTATGTTTGGCTCTCATTTTTTCAAAATCTCATTTCTAATCACACATTCTCTTAGCAAATAATTTTATACGTAAATTCAATTATACGTTATCCAGCAAAACACTATTTTAAAATACATTTTGGTCCAAAAATAGAGCTCAAACATGGGCTAATTCGCATAACTCGAATTAAGCAAACAATTTTAAAATATATATGAACTAAAAATGCGTCTTTACACATAAGTTATTCATTAATGTATAGGTCAACATATAACATTAGTTAAATTGACGATAGTTCAAAGTGACCAGATTTGTAAATGAAAGACCTAATTTTACTACATTGAAGATGAGTGACTCAAGATGCATTTAACTGTATGAGATTACTTGGATAAGTGTAAACCATCGTGCACGGGACCCACCTCAATAAAAAAGTAAAACCCATACATCAAGAATAATTTTTTCCCTAGCGTAAATCATAGTAATGTTCTTTGTACTTTATTAATAAATTATTTTTATTGGTATGATGTCAATGTCCCCCACTCAACTTGAAGAAAGGTATCACTATGTTCCATAAGTTTAATTTTTTGGGTAAAAGATGCAGGAGTTTACCTAATTTTGTCGCATTCAATTTTGTGTTGCCATAGATAGTTTACTAAAATGCCAATGTATTTTTTTTTTTTTACAATTGAAAAAAAGTTTAGATACAATAGGAAAAAAAATGTATCACTTGTATCAACAATTTTCATGCAAAACAAAGCCAAACGAATGATATTCAGTATGATATTTTTTTTCAATTTTTTTTTTTAGCAATTGGAATAAATTCTAAACCCAATAATAGAAAAAATTATCACTTTAATGGACAATTTCCATATAAAACGAAGTCGAACAGACACCAAATTTTCAATATTTTCTATAGAAAATTATATCAAGCAAACACAATTAATTACAATTTCCAGTAAAATAATTTCTAAGCAAATCAATTCCCTGTAAAATATTTTATTTCCACACATTTTCCACATTTACAATCAAACGGACCCTAAACCTTTTAAGATGGAAATTTCGAACTCAGTGCACTCCTACATGAGGAACTGGAATTAGTCTAAATTTGAATAATAATTACCCTTGTTTGGTCACTATTATTTTCAAAATACCTTTTTCTCTCTCTTATTTTCAACCGCGCAATCTTCAATAAAATAATATTACATATAAATTCAAAAAAAAAAATCATATTTGTTGACCACATATTTTCTATCAAAAATACTATTCCAAAAATGTATTTTAATAAAAAAAAATTGGGGCTCAAGCTAATTACTAATTAGATTGTAACATATTTAATTTTTATTTTTCAATTTGGATCTAGTGATAGATTAATTATGCCATAAATGTCTGCCAGTTTGACTGATAAAATAATAATTTGAATACACGTTATTATCAAAGTTCGAAAACTGGAAAGGGTAAGCAGTGGCACTGGAATCCCTTTTCCCTAATCCATGTTTCACACTTGCTAATTCTCTCTCGTGTATCCAAAATAGCCGTTGGTTTCCCCAATCAATGTTTCACACTTGCAAATTTCCTGTCGTGTTGCCAAAGTAGATAAAGCGCAGGAATAATAGCTTGTTTGGAAGGAATTTTTGAGGGAAGAATTGATTTTTGAATAATGATATGATGGGAAATGTGTGGTTGAAAAAGAAGAAAAAATTATTGATGTTATGGAAAATATTATTTTATTGAAGAATGTGTGATTGAAAATGAGAATTGA